TCTATCTATCTTTCTACCTATTTATCTATCTATCTATCTATCTGTCTATCTATCAGTTTACTAATCTATTTAGAGATTTGTAGCAAACTACACGGAGAGGTTCATCGGATTATCCCTTCCTTCCGTCAAAAGTTATTTTCATTGAGATTATTGAGTCAGCTTTTAACTGGCAGCTTTTGCCGATATTAACTGGGATGATAGGTTTTTCAGCCGCTAAGGTGACAACTTATTAGACTGCCATTTTAATCTGAAGTGGCCACTTGGTTATCTTAACAACCGATGTCTTAAGCAGTAAGTAATCCAATGGACAATTCAAAATAGCGAATACTGCGCCGCACACTTACTGCTATGGCCCCTTCATTCCGGTGCACGTACAGATCATATTGACCCTGGAATTTTCCAACTGGGAGACTTCCCATCGCCTGGAATAAACAATAAACAGACACTTATCAGTTCACTATCAACCAGGATAGCGTCTTGTTCCATACAATGAAGAGGCGGCTTACCATGCGACCGTAATTTTACAACTTAATACTCACGTCTTAATGCTGAAAAATCCGGTGGATCAATGAACATCATCTCCGAAACCGTCTCACAAACGTCAGAATATATCACTCGTGCCCACCGAATTACTAGTGTTATCACCTGAGTTTGCTCGTTCAGGTCCAAGGCACTCATCGCACCATCACGGAAAACCACATCACGTGGCCATCAATTGACCGGCTCCTCGAGTGTCAAATGTTCAGATGGAAGTTTTAGTCCCAGTGTAAATTTATTCTTCCACTGATTTACTTGTGAATGTTTCAAATGGAATCGACTTTCTTCTGTACCGAAGCAATGAAACGTATGAATTATAAGGTACCCAAAGCCCTTGCTTGTTTATCCGAAAGGTAATGCTGGCTAGGCTTGGGTATCTACATGCCTGGACTGGCAACCATGCTGTACTCTGTCAACGAAACCTGAAGCTTCTAATCAATTATTTGCAACATTGACCGTCATTATTCTTAGTTAACCAAATACAACTGCCATCTCAATAAATACACTCATTTTCAGAACAGTTTGCCTTTTCACAAGTGACCCAAATGAATCTACCTATGACTCACCATTTCGCCATATTTCATCGCGTGACTAAACACTGTACACCTTTTTACCTCCTCGTATTGTTCCTCCAGTGTACGCGTTTTTATGTCTTTCTGCGTGCATGCGGGAGATAATGACAAAGATGTGCTATATGAAGCGGACGAATCAGCTAAGGCAATTTTAAGACGAATCCGCTGTAGGCAAAATGTCGAAAATATCACAAGGGTAAAACAGCCGAGGTATGCAAAGTCACACACTGCTGGTAAATTAGTGATCACTCCGCTGTTTCTGGACACCATGCATGCACATACAACACATCGTGAGGATTTGATGCTCTATGGTTCTGAGCAACACTACCACCATCATCATCCTCGTCATCATCAACATCATCGCGAGCAACAACAGAGTAAAATACTGGTGATTCACTGCCGTACAAGCATCATTAATTAGTTGTGGTGGAAAAAGAAAGAATAATGGAACAGGAAGGAAATCCTAGGGCTAGCCTACAACCTACACCCAGATACCCACACATTCGAGAACAAGTCACACCAACTGGATAGATTCGCCTTTGGCATTTTGATTCATTTCGACAGGTGTATTGAGACGAAGGCGTTCAGGAGATCCACCAGCATCATCATCGTCGTTATCATCATCAGCATCGCTGTCATCACCAACATCAACGTCATCCATGTCAACATCCGCGTCCAACATTGAGGCTTCCCTACGTGAATTCAATATCCTTCTAAAGCCCTATTCAAATTTAAAGAATCAAAACGGATGGGGAAAGCATTTTGCGCTGGTCTACCACAATTATTCCGATGCGTCTACAGATCCAGACAACTACTCAGGCGATCTGAACCGAAAATGATAACAAGAACCCCAATAACATCGGTTCAAGGGAAGTCACGGTGGGAATCAGGCAGTCTCCATCGTACAGCGCGAATTACACTGATAGAACCCCGGACATTTTCTAATATCTTTCATGCCCCTTTGCTGGAGCAGAGGCAAACCTGACTGGGAGGATAGTGAGAAATGTTGGCCATACAACCAACGGTTTGATTATTTTGGGGCCACCGTACTGCTGACTGCTGAGTACCACGGATTACCCATTCACAACTGACAGGCTGATCTGCAAAACTTCTCTGTAAACTTACGTAATCCGAATCTAAAAGCCATTCATACGAGTATTCGTCCGCTAGACAAACATCGATTTTCTTGTCCAAACAAAACATAGCAAAGGAATCTTCATTTTCGTTGGCTGCTGTTGTCACGTAGACTGCAGGTTTAGGGGTTCAGACAACAGATAATATAAGTCAATAACAAAAATGTGTAAAATACTGAGGTAAATTATCGACAAACGGATCTCGTGACTCACAGAAATAACGAAGCTGCACGATGTCTAAAACTAACCCACTACTCAGGAAGTCGCTGATGTTTCATTGACAGAACATAATGCTTTTCGCGCCTCTTGCATCGAATCAGGTAGACGCAGTCCTTGACTTTCTCTGAGACTTAATCAAGACTTGAACCCAGACTGGGCTGAACTTGCCAAACACTATCATGAACGAGACATTTATCTGGTTTTGGTTGGGTCAACCCGTCAAAATCAAATAAGTATGTGAATGCATAATCCGTTTTTTTTACGGTAAAACCCCCTGGAAAAAGACCGCTGACGGGAACGGTTAAGGTAGACACGCCACAATCGTTAGATCTGTTTTTTTGTGGGTTGAAGTATACCTTTTATCAAAGGCTTAAAATCCATTTGGTGCTATCATCTGCCAAACGCTACTTGCGTAGAGTCATGGACTACCTTCATACAAAAATCGCGATGTGAACCAGAACAAACCAAGCTCGGAACAAAGCTCGGTTCTCGGGGTTTTTTCTGTTTTAGTGGTGAACACCGCTTTTAAACCATATATGATTGACATTATGAATACTATTTCACAGGATCCATGCAAGAATCAGTCAAAAATTTACGCTGCTTACTTCCCATATTTGAAGGAAGAACATCGTGAAACATTGATCCGGAGTTGCAGCTATCCATATACAGCACCAATTTGTTGAACATTTTTTTTGAATGCATGTAGGCGATGGTATCGTTCAACTCCATGGCATACAGCTGTCGCAAGACAAGTAGAAAAATTCTCGTGAGCTCCAAATGAGTCAATCGATGAGTCAGTCACCAGTGATGTGGATCCCTTGACTGAAGAATGGGCAATGCTATGTCCTGACTTAGTGCGGATAAATCAGGCTGTGAGATGGTCGATCGTGGCCTAACGGTTACACCTTGCATTTATCAAGCGCATCACTGAAGATTTCCAATAGGGATGGAACAGTCGTACATTGCTTCTCGGCTCTTCAACACAGAATGTTTTCTGATAAATACAAAAACTTCATACTATTTAGGATTCGTGCTGTCGCCTTAGAAGCGAAAAGCAGTACGTTGTCAGGAAAGATTCGGCTGACGGTTCTTCGTATCTTCTACGCCTCTCGAGTGACCATATACGACCAGATTCTTTGTTCACGTTATCTAACTTTGCTCAGCAGTCTGAATGGATCGACCACAAAATCATGTGAGTCGAACGTCTTAAACTTCGTAAAAACAAAATGTATGTGACGGTTTCATTTGGTGCTCCTTGAAAATACCTATCAAACTTAAATTCCTGGGGATGTCACTCTTGAGAATGACGTACGAACATCGTAGCTTGTGTTCCATTTTTCGGTTGGTGTGCAGAATAGCTTGACTATAGACTCTCTTTTATAAAGAATTACCAATGTCATTGCACCAACATGTTTACGTAAGCCTTTTCAAACCGTTCACTATTTAGCTGCCAATTAAAAAAACTGCGTGCTACAAACGTAGTTACCAAAATTAATTAAACTTACTTCTTCTCCTCGGAAGACAATAACGGAAGTGGCACCATGGCCAGAGAAGAAGATGAACACGTTGTCATCAGGACCGCTGTTAATGGGCAGAAAGTGAAAGGTGATCTTGAAGAGTAGCTTATTGACTGGCGCTCCCACAGTTAGGGGGTACACCAAAAACCCCGCGGAAATGGAAGCATTGCGAACACGTAGTTTAGAATATTGTTTTGTACACGCTGCTGGATATAGTCAGTAGCTGGATTAACCTCCACGAGTCTGTTATTTGCATGGTCACGTGAATACGGGTATGACCATTCGATTCTTTGGGCGCCTGTTGGTTGATTCGTATGGTTTTAAATGTTTGGAGATGGTTGGAAGCAGTGTTCCAATTTAGCAGGTCTTGTCCTCTTCCGTTGGAACGGTCACACTCAACGCTTTTGAAAAGACGCTGTTTTTGGCATGATTACATCTGTTTAATGAAATGTCCACATGATATATACACTATTGAGGAAACATATTATAACCAAGTTGAGGCGATCCTACATTTCACACTTGGGTATTCAAGAAGCCATATGTTTTTATCTAAATCTGATCTGGAAATGTTCTCTTTCTGGGTCGTTGATCAGGACGGTGTTGATCAGTTCTCAGCTTGCGAATGTTTCATCACCAACCGAAGTGACATCATGAGTGAGTGGTTGGGTTGGAAATTACTCCATACCTGTTTGATATTATAGGGCTGTGACTGGCTGGAGGGATCATACACTTCTCGAGGTCCAAATGGTCGATTTCAAACTGCGCTGCGTTGTGGCTGACACCCCCTGAATTCGATTGCTGCCTAAAGTAGTTTCTGTCTGAAGAACTTTTGTTCATGGTCTGAATGATCAGTTACCGATTTCTAATGTGCTGCTTACTGGCTTTCCACATTCGATTGGCTCTCTCTCCGACGTCTGTTGTCGTTAGTACATTTTGATTGGTTGTTTCTAAGTTGCTGTTGTGCTGTAGCCTGATTTTTTGAAGTTTGGTTTCATGAATGCTCTCCCAGTTAACAAAACTTATTTATTGTGCAGATGAGTTTATCACCTTTGAATACCTATTCCATAGACCATCTCTCTTAACTTGTCTATCCCCACTAACTACAGGCGGCATCCGAAAAACTGAATTTCTTCAATTTAGTATTGGAACAACTTTTAACCACCTTTATGTTCATCTACTTATTATATTTTTTTAACTTGTCTGCTTAAATCATAATAGCATACCAGAAGTGCAAAAGTTGACGGAACAATATAACATCGAGGTCGCCTAAGGTAAATTTTTGTAGGACGTTAGCCAAATTTTAAAATACAAACGATTAGACTAACAATAGGTCTAGTAACAAAACATATCTCTTTTGAGTATGTTGAACGAAATATTGTTTCTGAAAATTTGGTTTTGCAGAAAACTAGCTTGCTGCAAACGGATATAATCTACGTCACGGGCAGCGGAATCTTCATACTCTAGGCGACAGCAAATAAAATGCTACAGATCTATTACCACTTGGAGGGTGAGTTAACGAATGAGTGTTTGTCAAATTAAGTGCTTTGGAAGGGTTTATGCGGTAACTCCCCACCCCAAGCTATTTCGAGGACTTGGCGAAACCTCAGAATAAAGCCTATATGAACAGCTAGCAGACCAACACGTTCGAATGGCGACCGAACAGACCACGAGGCACTAAGTGCCCGGAAGCAAACCTGAATGGCAGCAGACCAACTAATACGAAGCTTTTGAAGAAGACCCAACAATCAGTGTTCACAAAACTTTTAAATCAAGGGGGTTCATCCCAACTGCAAACGAAAAATATTTGTTCACGAGAGCTGGGAATATGTACGGAAGCATCCACCGCAAGTCCCTGTTCAAAACACCTGTTCATCAGATAACACGCACAAAGAGCGGCTAATTACGGATTTCGCCACAATTGCAAATCCAAAATGTGCATGAATGGCTGGATGAGAGACATATGGTTTGCGAGTAAACAAATATTTGCCTGGTTTCCTGGTTTTTTCTGTATACCGACGCTTCCCATGTCGTCATTTTTAGGTCAAAAAGGCGGGAACGTAATTTCGAAAGAACAACTGTGACTTTGGCAACCCACATAGGCAACAGAGGTAATATCAAAGCTGCGAGCATTATGGGGTAAACACGAAACAGATTTGAGGGCCCGGGATAAACCGACAGGGCCGCCAGTGGACTGGGATTTCGATCATCCAAAGTACAGTGTTTATTTGCGTTGTTCAACGCCGTGAGTTAAAACAGATCCTGAATCTGATCAAACCGAAATTGACCGACACAACGATGTGCAAGACCAAGCAACACGCACAGCTGCGCTTATCTGAATATTTTCGAAACTTGTTAACAGCGGCGATTGATGCCTATGATTTAATAATAACCAAAACTCAGAAATAGATGCACCGGGTTTCCCCTGGAGTGATGCCTAATCGAAGAGATTATGTACCAATTTAATTACGAGAATACTGAACAGGCATTTCATAAATCCGATGACGGTGACCTGCAAAACTAGAATTCTGGTTGTGATCAACAAGTGTACAAACAATATCCACTTCCGCGCAAACTCACCTTTTCAGCACTTTCCTTTTGTTGGCTTCAAGTTTCTCATCGCCTGTTAACACCCTCACGAAGTTATCCCGTGTGACATCCTAAAACGGATGAACATGCGTGACCAATTATTCCAGTGACAATGGTGTTCCTTACACTCACTCTCTTCCCGGTGACCATCCATCATTAATTGAAATCTAAGATGAGCCCTTCATCCCCAGTCATATTTTATTCACGATGATCGCTGTGTGCTGAAAACTTAATAATTCGATTGTTGGTCTGTTTATCAAGCATGGCATTTGGATTTACACCCTAAGCCTATGGTTGGTAGTTAAGTCGAAGTTGGACTACCCGGAAGCACTAACAAGTAGCCCTCATCTAACTCAGTAGCTAAAGGATGCAACATACGTGAGAACTGGCCGCTATCTTGAAATGAGTATCACCCATCAGCACTCAACTAAATCACAGTTGAGCGTCTATTATCTATGATATTCTTTAGCTTAATGTGCTGTCCTGGACACGCTGCTTGGTTTGGTTGGTGTAACACTAGGGATATCACAAGATATTTCTCCGAAGAAGCTATTCGGGAACTGTTGGTCTTCGTGCACATTTCGTGGTTCTTTTGACAAGAAAGCTAAACTACTTTATAGGCCAAAAGCGGACGGCTGAACTCGGTCATGGGGTGCTTGAGTGTTTTCTATGACCTAATGACTGGTGTTCGTCCAAGTGGATCGAACATACTGTACTATGGTGAAACTAAATAATCTGCCCTACGGTTTGTATTGTGTTTTGATCAACGGTGTCATTTTGACTGCATATTGTGTAACAGGGTGAACAGATACAGGAATTCACTTGACTGCTCCGCACCGGAGTACGGACTTACTTTTCCACGGTAGTCAATTACAACCCCAGTGTATACATCTTTGTGCTGGTAATCTTGGAACACTTTGCCTTTGAACGGATTTCTGGAATAAAAAATGAAAAGTGGCTATATGTGTTCTGGGAGAAATTAACATTGTAGGTCGAATAGAAAAAAAATGATCCGCTTACAAATTCAGTTCGCACTGGTTTCGCTGGCTTGTTTTGCAATATAAATTTTCACCACGATGAATATACCTTCTGTCACACATAATAATCCTTTATGCAGAAATAATTCTGGTATCCCACAATGATCCATGTTTAGTGCACAACAACGAAAATCACAAATTTGGTGCGAAAATGCATTTTTTTTTGGTAAATTTGCATTCGAACACCGCCAGTGTTAGATTTCATGACCATATCCATACTTCTTGCCCGTGAATGTAATTCGAGTGGACAGGAAGCGAGATGGCTCAAGTGGATAATGCGCGAATATACTGACCGGAAATCCGGTGATTCCAGCCCTATCTCTGACTCCCGAGCTCTCCTGTCTAGGCTTGGGAAACGTGGCTGTAATCTAGACCTCGCGCAACCTTCGCTTTCGTGGCAGCCAGGCACCTTTAAGATGCCGCAGTCGAAAGAACGATCGAACAATACGCGACTTACATTTTAGGCTACGAAAACGAGTACTCAAACGAGTGCACATGAGTATCATCGTCATCGTCATCCTCATCATCAGCATTATCAGAATGTGATACTTGCATCAGATACTTGCATCAGAGTTCATTGGCGTCTACATTCATGAAAAGGCATCAACCAACAGAAAATCTGATAAGACATCTGAAGTTACCCACGAAAACCCTTAATTGCCTGCAACTGTAATTCAACAGCTTTATACATGCGAAATACGAAACAACAATGAGACGTGCTAAATTAAAATAAAGAGCGCGTTGCTACATTCTAATTGTTAACATATAGCGAAAAATGTACGCGATATTCACTTGCGATTATTTGCAATATCGTCGTAGGCGAAAGTGATTATATTCTCCGCTGGAACTTTGTTTTTACGCACCAATTGATACGCGTGGTAAACGTCCGCCTGAATGAGGACACAAATGACATGTGAATTTGGGATAATAGGCAGAATGAGGCATAGACCCCAGAGAAGGCAAGCGGACTGAAGGCAAGCGGATGTATTATCTCGAAAAAAGGAAGCATGATTCTAATCCGGAAGGGCTTTTGTGAACCAAAGGTCTACATCCATCCGTGTCCGAACAACAACATGCTCAACGAATCTGTACGAGCTTGGTATCCCTTGACAGCGAAAATACGTCCGAATCTGCCTTTTGCTTTTGTTCCAGAGAAATAGACACATTGCGTCGAAAATCATGTGGCAATAAATTACTACCCACTGATTCTTAAGAACTAATACAGACGCACAAATTATGTGTAACATATTCGATGCCATTCTCATATAACTCCATGCAAATGAGAGAAGAGCGGACGAACGAATTTGACCAAGATGGATTTCTATATGCTTATTCCATATACACGTTACTTGATCTCACGAAGTATTATAGATTCAACCGCTCACATTCCCAGCAATCCCGTACTATCACAGTAGCAACCAATGTTGTTGGTAAGTCAGTGGTCTTTGTTGAGTTTTCTGAGTCCTGGTTCATACAACAAGTCGGTCTAGGCTACGGTAATGCGGTGCCCGGTAGTGTTACTCTAATACAATGAAGCTACAATGTCAGGACAGACGGTTAGTGGTGGCTGGAAAAACGTTGAATTCATGGTTTATACAACAATATACCTTCCAAGCACAGGTCGCGATTTTTCGTAACATAAGGCAACAATAAAAAATTATGGGTGACGAAAGTCGGATTTCGAATATCGTGAATCACACTATGCACTCAGCAACATCGGAATTAAATAGGACTGCAGAAACGACCCTACCCAAAACAAAATATGGTTTTACGACAAGGAAATACGGAATGTGGGTACATTAGGGTGCCCATTATTTGTGGCTAATGTCCACCGCATTTTCGAGGGAAATATCACAGCAATGGAGACAATAAACGCACAAGACACATTTGGGGGTATATTATTGCAAACTTTCACTTTAGACGCCCTTTCTTACGCGATTAAATAAACCTTTGAGCCTCAAGTCAATAAAAAACAGAAACCTACTTCATGTCGATAATTGTTCCAGGTGTTGGAACCAGCGACTAGGACAACCCAGGTCTTTGACGGATTATTGTTAAAGATGGATGACCAGTTGTGGACACCGATGGCTTCCAACCATCTTACGTGGCTGATGCAGAACAAGAACGCAATCAGAAGCGAACAACGGATTATCATATTCCGGTTTAGCTGAAGCTCCATGTGCCTGGCATTTTATACGGTGCGTCTCCTGTGAATCGACGTTTGCCTAACAAATGTATGGCGATGGTGTGAAAAAAGTTATCCACCACAGTTGCAATAAGTTTGCGGTACAAAGTTTATGCTAATCGAGGTATGATCGACAATTTTGACCAGCTTTCTCAACGACTGATCATTTGAGCAAACCTATTCCAACAAGATGTGGACATTGGTGATCTGTGGTGTTTTCTATGAATTTGTTGAGCACTCATGCGCCTCAAGCAGTCAGGAAGAGCAACCCCAGTATACAACGTTGTTTTCACGTGACTGCTGGCTTACGGGGCACATTTAAAATCCTTTGGTCCAAGGGGACATTAATGCCGACTTTCGTATCAAACGTCACAGCGTTTCACAGTTGGAACACTCCAAGCCTCTTCATGATATCAGTGACAGGGAGTAGACTTGCTGCGGAACAATTTATTACAAAATGCCAGCTGACCAGTAACAATCTATTGGACAGGAAGGCAAACATCTCATATGCAACTTATTTAGAAAAACTAAATATTCATCTTCATTTAAACGCGTCATACTGAACGTTTCTGGACATCCTTCGAGTGTTTGTCAAGTTCAGTTCAAGCATACAAACCGAGTTCACAAGCTCCGCAAAGAACTCACTTTGCAAGCGAAGTTACAAGTAGAGAACATATTACTCTCTTGCCTTGCCTATTTGTAGTATCACCGCTACGCACCTTCATACTTTAAAGATCGTTCGCATGCCATCGCTTCTCATTTACCTCTGTCATGTGGGGTTCGGCAACATATCTAGTCGGCCGTCATTTTGATGTATCATGCGTCTTATTTACTCTTTTTGATCCCCGGCCATTTCGCATCGTATAGATGTTCCCCACGCCGTCGGTAACGACAAACGGAACCCGAAATTGACTGCGCAGCTTTCGCGACCCCAGGTCACTCCTTCCAGGATACTGGTGATCCTACTATTTGAATTTCGTTCCTATGAGGAAAGCTCACGCGTTCCTGCTTGCCGTTTTATGCCTAGTATTTACCAGAACAGTGGTTAACGTTTCTTGAGCTCTCCTCCATTCTCCCCCTAGCTGCAGCGGAGACAAGCTTGTTGCCGGCCGCTGGCGAATTTCAGTAGCATCACCGTTACAAACCTTCACCCTTTAAAGGTCGTTCACATGCCACTGATTTCCACTTACTTCGGTCAGGACGGCTTCTGCAGCGGTGTCACCGTAAAAGACCCGTAAATTCCACGGACCACAATTCGCCGCATTCTGGGACAGCAATATTTGTTCCATGGAGTGGATTGCCCTGTCGTGCCCCTTCCATCATTTTGCATCGCTTACAGGAAACCAAATAATCCATCACCTTACTTCTCAAGCCGGGACAGCAGACAATCTGCCAATGTATATGCCATCCAACGATAAGCATCCGTCTCAAAACGCTAGTTTTCACGGGTAGCACAACATCGGAATCAGTGGCGTTACAGTGAATTATGCCAGCTTCATTCGGACTCACCTAGTCAAAATGATTCTGGAGCTTTTTTAATTTTTTGTCTCCCTCTTCGTCCTAAAAGCTCCCTTCATGCAACAGAGCGGTTGCAACAATTTGTAAAACAGGATCTTGCCGTTGGCTTTGCACCAACCTTCCGGGATCCAGTTCGACAACGAGATCATTGGCACCAATCATGATCCTGAGGACCCCATCTTCAAACTCTGGACTTGACAGGCAATCAGACAAATTGTTCTCCTTCCCAGGCACGTGCTGCATCGTGAGTTGCACTCTTGCATTCGTACTGCCAATTTTTGGCACTGGGCTAACTTCTCCGTGACCCACTTTATGACCCAGCGGTGTCACGGACCTTCGC